CTTTGAATAGTCAAGTTCTTCAAACCTTTACATTTATGGTTTGCATATTTAACTACTTAAGTGCTTTTTGACTTATCCTTTATTTTACTCTTATCCTGATGAAGTCTTCTTAATATTTTACTTTGTAATTGTCATCATCAAAAAAAATCTATTACTTTTGTAACAAGGTTCCACAAAACCAAATTAATTCATTCACAAATAAATTCATAATATATTTAAGGAATAATAGAAATAATTGTGAGGAACAAAAGAGATAAAAAGAGATAGATGTTCTGGCCAAAACCTAAACATTATCATTAACTTTTTGCCTAGTACGTGGCTCATTAAACAAAACCCATTAGGACTAAAAAAAATCTATGTAGATAGATTAACTATTATATTGTAACATAACATCTAAACACATTAGAATCACTTTTCTACGATAAAATATGATACTAAAGCAATGCTTTCCATAAATTTTGTCAAGCAAAAATAAATTGATCGTATTTATAGAGGAATTTTAAAATGATTTTTAATGATTCCTAAGACCTATAATGCAAAAGAGTATCACAAGACATAAATATATCGTCCAATATACATAAATGCTAAGTTTTTCTAGTTTTGACATCATGTAAAATATCTAATGGTGAACTTGTACTCACATTTCCCACATTTCATTCAACAATCATACAAAATATAACTCAAATAATGACATTAATCAATATTTTTATGCGTTAGCTTTCTAACGCTTCAAACGACACTCGATTTGGACTTACGGAGCCAAAGTTACGTCTATTCTATTGTCACTTGCTACATGTTCGCTCACTCTCGATGCCTGCTCGCTTAGAGAACTCTCGTTTCTTACTCGCTAACCCTCGTTCAGCGAACATGCGTAGGACAGCAAAAACACAATTTTCGCTGTTGCAGGCTTTCCGGACCTCCGATTTGAATTCCGTAAAAACCCAGACGCTCATAAAATCACAGAATATGTAATAATCTAATTATATCAAGTTAATTTTCAATTTTAACACCATTAGATCATCCAATAATTATTTTAAGGTTATACTCCAAACCTTCGGAATTGCAACAATGGTGAATATGTGTTCAAACATCATAACAGAAAATTACACACATATAAAGTACACAAAATTCACCAAATAATCAGCATACAACAACATCAACAATCTCAAATTCAACATCAACAATTAACATATACAATCTTACTCTGCCATTTCATCACACTCCTATTATTGAACTAACTCCCACCCTTACTTGATTATCCTAGCAGCAACGAATCTTTCCAGTTTGATAGAATCCTCTCTTCCCAAACTCCTAGCCCATTCTCTTACACTTGTTCTTGCCCTGGCTTTCTCTCTGGTTCTTTTCACGTACTGGAAAAAAAGTCTCTTCTAACTCTAATCTCCATTTCATAATAACAAAATCTGTTAGTTTTGGATTTCCCAACTTTATCCTCACTTACTCACACAAACTCCTTACTTTGTCCTTACTTATTACCACAATCACCATAATGCCCCTAATTCCTCATAATTCTATTTATTTTACTATTAAATCTAGTAATTCAATATTTTATCAATATTATCATTTCAGTTAAATAAATCTAATTAAATTATTATTATTTAAGTATTAAAAATTCTAAATAAATTCTAAATAATCCAAATCAACTATAACTCTCTCTCTCTCTACACCCCTGCAACTACACAACAATGAATTAAATCCTATAAATTCATAATAATTAATAGAAAGTCACAAATAAATCAATTAAAATAGATTAATCGAAAATGAGGTGTTACACACTATCCTTCCAGAATTACAATGAACATCTCACTCACAAATGAAATTTTTCTCACAAAAGCATTTTGCTATAAGAACTAGTGAGAAAAAGTGAAAAATAAAAGTTAGAGAGAGAAAGTGTGTGTGTGTGTCAAAATACACAATTCGTGTTCTGGATGTTTTGAAACAATAAATGATTATAGGCAAGAGGAATGTCTAAAACGGAAATTTCATTTAATGAGTTTGACTGTTGTTTAACCGATTGGACTATTTATCTAATCGATTAGATATTCAAAATATAGTCATTGCTGGCCAGTTAAAAGGAAATAAAATATTCCTAGCCATTGTACATCATCAAAGCGCTGGCTAAATAACTTGGGGCTTAAGTTTGAGTTATTCTAATCGATTGACACTAGGGTCTAATCAATTAGATTAATTAAATATTCCCCTTTAGTTATTTTCACTTCTCCTAAGTCATTTGGCACAACTTTAAGGACTCTTTTAAAATATTTTTTCTTGATTAAGGCATTTGAAAAAGGTTTTGGTGTGTGTGCTTATAACCATATACTTATACGAAAAGCTCTTTTTCTTTTACAAAAGGTCACTCACTTACTAAATTAGGAGTCTAACTCATTCTATAAGCTTTTTGTCAGATATCATCTTCTGTGTTAACACTGTTTGAGATCTCTTTGAGGCTTTAGATAACTTCTCTTGATTTGTCTTCTTCTTTCTTCTTTGAATAGTCAAGTTCTTCAAACATTTACATTCATGGTTTACATATTTAACTACTTAAATACTTTTTAACTTATCCTTTGTTTTACTCTTATCCTGATGAAGTCTTTTTAATATTTTACTTTGTAATTGTCATCACCAAAAGAAAATATATTACTTTTGTAACAAGGTTACACAAAACCAAACTAATTCATTCTATTAACAAATAAATTCATAATATATTCAAAGAATAATAGAAATAGTTGTGAGGAACAAAAGTGATAATAAGAGATAGATGTTCTGGCCAAAATCTAAACATTATCATTAGCTTTTTGCCTAGTACGTGGCTCATTAAACAAAACTCATTAGGACTAAAAAAAAATCTATGTAGATTGATTAACTACTATATTGTAACATAACATCTAAACACATTAGAATCACTTTTCTACGATAAAATATGATACCAAAGCAATGCTTTCCATCAATTTTGTCAAGCAAAAATAAATTGATCGCATTTATAGAGGAATTCATTGACATTTTCATAAATCAACTTCCTCTCACTATTCAACTTACCTTTTCTATCTGTTTTTTCTCTCCTCTTCTCACACACGCAACTTTCTTCATTAAGGTATGTTTTTTTATTTTCTTTTTCTTTTTTTATCTGAGTTTACTTTTTGTTTTTCTGTTTTATTATTCTCTTTTCTTTTTCTTTTGTTCAGTTTAAATTTTTATATTTTTTTACAACTATTGAATTTTTATTTTTTTTATTTTGGTTTTTTTCATTGAGGTTTATTTATGAATTTCTAGTTCACCACTGAGTTTGTATTTATATTTATTTACTTTTGTTTTTTTCTTTATCTTTACTTGAGTTTATATTTATTTTTGTTTATTGTGTTTGTATTTTTTTTATAGATATTACCACATCTCCTAATTCCCAACCATCATCGTCAAATGCTCAATTGGTATCTTTTTCTAAATTTCAGTCTAGATTTGATGCTAGAAGATATTTGAAATATTTCCTAAAGTGAAGAAGGTTATAAAAAAAGCAATTAGTTTTGTGGGCTTCATTTATAACCATTCTTTTAGTGTTGAACTTAATGAAGAAGAAAAGAGAAAGTGAGTTAGTTAGAGCTGAAGTTACAAGGTTTGCTACAACATTTCTTAATTTACAAAGATTGCACAACTTAAAAGCAAAATTGAGAAACACGTCGAATGGTCGAACTTATCCTTGAAAATAAATGGAGTGTTCAACTTCACCGTCCATTACACGCAGTTGGACATTATCTTAATCCAAAGTACTTTTACAGTATTAATTGAGAATGATGGTAAGTCGGTGGATGACCTTTATACATGTATCAATAAGTTTTATTAATGTCCTGAAGTCTTTGATGAAATACATGGAGAATTGGTAAAATGTAAGATGGGTATAGGCTACTTTTTTCATTGAGTTCAATAGTTAGACAAGGAAATTCAATATGGGCTGGTAAATTAAATCTATTTGTAGTAAGTTGAATTTATTTACATTATATAACAATTTTTATAATGATGAAGAGAATGAAGAGGAAGACAAATCTAGTGGTGGAGAAAATGATGATGAAGATTTGAATTTTCATGTTGCTTGATCGTTTATTAGGGGCTTTAATTAATTGTGTTTTTTAGAATTTTATTGACAATTGAAAGTATATTTTATGAAGACTTGTAGTTTTTATTTCTAATTATGAATGATTTATGAATTTTAACTCATTTATTTTAGTTTTTAACTATTATGTGTTTTATTAATATTAAATATATTAGTGTCTACGTCACTAGAATAACGTCTGTTCTGTTCAGCTTTTCCGTTCCAATTTTTTTGGATGGCCGCGCCGCGCTACGCCATTATCTGAGTTTAACAACAGAGCAAAATTCTGAAAATCTTCTATTACTTCCTTGCCCAAACAACAAGGTCAAGAGCATATCCTGTAACCCAGTTATATATCGTTTGATCAACCAGCTCAGTCGAATCATTAATCTGCTTGGTGAGAGCTTCTCCCATCTTTCAAATGACAGTTTGATGCCTTGTGGAATCCACCGTCAACAGAACAAATCAAGCTCCATTCGGGCCAATGAATAAAGATAGAGAAGATATCGATGAACAAAAAAAATTGCAGAAAATAAGCAATTCAGAGTTTCAGATAGAGAATGTATAACAATCACTCACTCAACATAACCGAGGTATATTTGAGCAAATAAGCAGAAAATCTTTACGAAAAATAGAGAACATGCCGTTCTAAGAAACTGGTGGACCTGGAACTAGAAACTAATTACTGTTGATGCTAATCTCTGTCTTTTGTACACCAGAAAAAATACTAAGCTAAATCAGTAGTCTAAGGTTTTCTTTGGTTTTAGTAGCAGCAGATTAAAGTATCATATAAAAGAAGAGTAGACTAGAAACTAAATAAAGTAACCACTAACCACTAGATAAAGACCTATTCTCAACAGAATCCAAACAAGAAATCCAAGTTTATAACCTTCAAGGGGTGTCAAAAGCAAATGAACTCCATATCATCATGACTGCGAAATTTAGTTGCCAGCAGAAAACAAGATAACTTAGTCCAATGTACTGATTATCATACTATCCATCCCTGATCACCCACTATATACATCATCTATCTACACAATCTTTGCAATTTGCAAGAAATTATACCTTAATTTTAAATTAGACTCTTTCAATGCCCAAACGGTTCCTCCATGCACAGGAAGTCATTCGGCCAATTTGCTCTAAACAACCAACTTTTCCTCATCCATATCAGGTACTACAACATCTACCCTCATTGTATGTGCATAATTCTTTTCAACTGGTGCTCCAGCCTGTGAAAATAGCTCAACAACTGCGGGTAACATACCATAGTACCTTTTCAACTCATTTACCAAAGGCTTATTGGGTTGCTGATCTTGAATGTGATAGACATATACAGGAGGCACAAAATCATTTATTGTAGCCTCCTGCCATGCATGCTGTCCATCCCTCATCTGGTGTTTGTAAGCTTGACAATTTCGCACTCTATGACCTTTAGGTCCCACTTGTACCTCTGGACAGTATCCACAAGTTTGTACAACATATTTCTCCATAAGTTTTGAAGCTCCAGAGCACATTTTCTTCCAGGCTTTCATACCTCGCACAGCAACAGCTGCAAAGAAGCACACACATAGTGAGCCGAGTTGACAGAGAACAAAATGTATGTTGTGCATAAAAGAGAATGGCAAAGAAGAAAAATGGCGTGTGTTTGTTAACCTTGGATGTCATCACAATGCATTTCCGTAGAATTTGTGTCTTCATCCAATCTCTTTTTCTTATATGGAAATCCATATTCATCTATATCTTTGTCAAGAGAAATTTCTTTAGGAAATCTTTTCTCAAAATCGATTATCCGACCAGCAACGCAGTAAACAGGAAAGGTCCTTCTCCTGGTAAGGTACTCAGGTATGTCAAGACCTGCCTGGATACACAATTCAACAATTGCTGGAATTCGGTCCACTTGAAGCATTTCATTATGTGAAACAGCCCTCCCAATTCTATCATACAGATGAAATGACTCAACAAGAGGCAGAATATGTTCAATACCACCTTTGACCCAACTGTGTTCTTTGCTCGACAAGCTTCCTCTAACATTGCATGTTCTAATTTGATGTGGTGGATCACCAACATGAACTTCTCCGCATATGCTGCAAGGAATCAAAAGTATCAACTAAGAATGTATATAAAAAAATCCCCAATAAGTTCAAGCATCTAAAGGCTGAAAGTAACTAAACATTGAAGTTCAACGATTATATCCCTATTTTAGAAGGAAATACATAAAATATCCTTAATGTAACATTAACAACATATTTCTGAAGAGTGAATAAGCAACTTGACCTTCAAAATTGTGAGTGTGTGTCAAAATAATCCTTCATTTTTGCAAATTAGAATATAGACCCTGAAATTGTAATGTATCATTCAAAATAGTCAATCTGTTAACTTCTATCCTTAAAGGTCATGATTTGGCACGTTAACCGGACATAACACGTCATATGTTGATCCCCTATCAAGGTTAGTTTACTAGTGACTACCCTGCCTACGAAATTTAGGACATCTCCGAGATAAATTTGTCAGTAATTGAAAATGTGCAGAGACTAATCACTGAGAAATGACTCATTCAAAAACTTCAGCTTCATAGGAAAATTAGTCTCTGGTGTGGTGGCATTGACGTGGGATCAACAAGGAGGAGCGGCATATTCAGTTAACGTGTCAAATCAGAGTCTCGAAAGCTATGTTTGGATTGATGTAATACGACGGAATAGAGCGAAATGGAATGGAATAAGTTTATGTTCCGTCGTTTGGATTGATAAAAAAAGAGGACGAAATGGAGCATAACATTGTGAAATGCATTTCATCCCATTCCGTCACTTACCACCATTTTCTTACCCTCCGATCTGGGTGGAATGAGAACATGGCCATGTTCTGTCTTCAAACATCCAAACAATGGAACGAAACTTGTAGTCCGCACTATTCATTCCATTCAGCTCCGTTCGTTTTAAAATATCTAAACATAACCTAATGATAAAAGTTAACATAGGGTCTATTTCAACCGGCCGTATATAACTTCAATGAAAGGGTTTATCAATTTACAAAAATCGGAGACACCTTATAATTTCTATGATCAATTTTCCTATTCACTCATTCTCAGAAGCAGTAATCTGCTACCAAATAATCACACTCAAATCGAAACTCTAGTTGCAACAACATACAAAAGGCACAAAACAAAAACAATGAAGAAAACAAAGGTTCTGAAACTACCTGCATGAATAAATAGCAATAAGCTTCACAAGTCTAGAAACACAGGACACTAATTCAGATCTCGCAGCAAAAACTTCCTTAGCGATAGGAACTAATTTCTGAACCAACAATCCATTTTCAGGAGATTGTAAAACAATCTCACCAACCTTTTGTCTCTCTTTTCTCTTCTCCCTACCTCGTCGTTTTAGTTCGTTGATACTTGTTACCAATGGTTTCCTCTCAAATTTCTTGAGCTTCTTTGGGAGATCGTCGCAAATAGATAAAGTCGAGTATAAAACACGGAAACGAATGGGAAATTGCGTGGTTCTTTGAAGGAGATGATGACTAATTGAGTGAACTAGACTTGAAAGCATTATGGTTCATCAACGATGAGAGAGCGGAACGGAGCAAAATAACCTTCACTGTGTCCACCACCTCCGCTATCTCCTACCTCAACGTTTGATGATTCTTTCCAATTCCACACGGTGAAAGACAACAACGTCTACTTTGCGCGACAAGATTTGGAGGTTGTGGAAGAGATTTCTTTCTGCTCCTCAATGGAGGCGGCGGCGGCGGAATTGAGGTCTATGGAGGTATCGCGGCAGTTGATGGAATCGAGAGAGGTTGGGGAAATGTTTTATAAATTGGACCGCTAATCAAGCCGGCAAGGATATTGAGTTATCAAATTAATGGTTGAATCATTGTTATTGGTCAAATTTTATGACTAAATTGGATAACTCGGTTGAATTATCTGATATCTATAATAAAATTATATATTTATTAAATCGATCAAATCGGATAATTCAGTATCTAAAAAATATCACGACACATTGACTTTACAAAATTTCAAAATATCATTGTACATCCCGAAAATAATGGGTCTGATCGGATAACATAGCCGGCAAGTCTAGAGATTAAACCAGTAGTCGGCTCAGGGCGAAAGTACTCGATGTGTAACTCGGTGAAACGAGTGTCAGATGTTCCACGGATACGGGTAGCGATCTGTCATCGTCATCGATCCGGACAAAGTAGGTAGTCGGGTCGCACCTGCTTGTGACTGGTCATTACCTCGACTCATTAATATTTGTAACATTCAACGGTGCAATCATTACAGCGTTACATAACTTTGATTCCCCCATTTATGGAGACAGCGGATGTTATGGAGTTATGGGACTCAAGAGTCACTCATTAACTGAGGCTCTTAATGACGTGGGGATACACACTATATAAAGGGGCTCCCACGTGAGGGATAAGCAAGGCATTCATCTTGAGACACATGCTTCACTGGCATAGCTCCCAAATCCCTCAATCATCCTATAAACTTACTCTGGTAAGCTCTCTCTAACAACTCTTGGAAGGTCGGCCGAATATTTGTTTTACGCAAGAACATTGGCATCCACCGTGGGACCTTGGTAAAATTATTCCTATGCCACACCTCAATTCACCTTCTGCAGAATAACATCACCTGGAGACCCCCTAAATATGGCACAATTACTAGCCATGGTGGAGTCCCTCAGGCAGCAGAACGAAACTCTGGATGACAGCGTCACAAACCTACAACAAAGAAGCGTATGAGACGACGGTCCAAAAGAGGAGCTTCTGGAACCTCGACCTTTTTCTCAAGCTATCTGGGACGATCAGGTCCTAGAGAACTTCAAATCACCATCGTTGACAGCCTACGACGGTAGAACCCATCCTCAAGAGTTGTTATTGCCATCCACAGCTAAATGGCGATAATAGGCCCCACCGACTCACTAAAGTGTAAACTAATGGCCGACACCTTCAAGAACGTAGCCTTGCGATGATACATGAGCCTACCACGATTGTTCGTGGAGAGCTACTCGGACCTGACGAAGAAGTTAATCCAGCACTTCTCTGCCAACAAACATCTAAGGTGTCCACAACGTCCGACAAGGCCAAGCGGAGTCTCTCCGAGAATACTTGGCCCATTTCAACGAAGACACCATCAAAGTATCTCATCCAAACCAGGAGTTGTTCGTCGGAGCATTCCAACACGGTCTTCGAGCAGGAAAATTCAATGAATCCTTAGCTTAGAAGCACGCGTCCGACATGAACGAAATCATTACCAGAGCAAAATGCTACATAAAGGGCGAGGAGAACAACCTATAAAAACAGTCCAAGGACGCCCTGGAGAAAAATAAGACCAAGGACGAAGGGCCTGGAAGGAAGCAAGAGTCTTCCCAAGCAACCTCAAGAGATAGGCCCCAGGAACGCACAACTCAGAGACCTAACCGATGTCCCTTCGACTCAAGTGACATGGAGACACCCTTAAACACCAGGCCCGAATAAGAATTTCCCCAACTCTTAATACCTATTATAAATGCATGAAAATGCAAGAGATGCATGAATAGATGCAATGTCATGTTCGATCATTTTCAAGGAATCGAGATGCTTTTAATTTTGATTTTGATCCAGCAAGAGATGGAAAAACACAACACAAGGCTCACATGCATGATTCCTTAGAAATGGAAAGAACATGTGTGTTAATTTTTTTCAATGCATAAATTTTTTTATATTTCTTTTTTTGTAAAAATAAATATGCCATGATGCAAGTGCAATAATCATGGAATCAAGGTTTCCACAATACTGGTTGATGTATTGTACTGTCTCTGAACACACCAAGAATACCAGAATCATAAATCCGGAACATAATCATAGAATCATAAAACCATAGAACCATAGTCATCAACAGAACAATACAGAACAAAAAATCATCTGAACACTATAGTCATCATTTGTACCTGTAAAGAATATTTCCGCCCCACTCACGGGTCAAAACTAGGTCAAGGTAAGGTCAATGGTAACCTAGAATCCCATGTTTTCTTGAGAATACTATCATCGTACACCTACGTGATAATGATAGCACCTCATTAAAACCTCATCTGAGCATGGACGACACAACCGTCTAGGGAGATCTACATCCCTTATCTGTCATGTTTCACTATATTCCTAGTGTTCCTATGGTTGTCACTTGGCCTAGATATTGGGCCTTTTACCTCATAGTAACATCTCACCCAACCTGAAAAACCAGCAAATCCAGCACAGCAGCACTATATGGAAAACAATAAAGATGCAATGTAACCATATGCTCAGATAATCATGTACAAATGAATAAACTGAAAGAATAAAAATTAAAAAAAAAACAAAGAAAAGAAAGCAAGAGCTAGTAGCGACTCTGGGATGGACCAGCATTTGGTCAACCTTTCCCCAGTAAAGTCGTCAGCTGAAGCAACTAGCTAAAATATCACTGAGATGAAATTAATGAAATCTTCATCAAACATTTTTATCCCACAGGAAGGAAAATATAAACATCGAGTAAACCTGAGAAGGGTGAAATCAAGGTCAAGCGATCGAGAGATACAGGTAAGGGAGTCGATTACGCAAGGGGAAGGTATTAGCACCCCTCACATTTGCGGTACTCCATGGGATCCACTCTTGTTATTCTAATCAGATGGTGTGTTCAAGTCTAAAGCTAACGAGCTATAAGAAAAATACAAAGAGGGAATGCATCTAAAAGAAAACACGGGGAAAAGAATGAAATATTTATAAAGTTTCGCTCAGCTGAGCCCCGTGATCAAATGCCTGCTATCCCTTTTAAGGAATCACACTGCCGTAGTTAGGCTCAATAGTTTCCATTTGTTTTGTGTTTTTTATGAATAATATTAGTTTATCTTTTTGCCCCAGTTCGACCTTTGGAGACTCACGCGTTGGCACATAAATGAATTAAAAGTTCTTTTGAAAGTTTAAAAGAAAGGCCCAAAGGCGAAAAAGAGTTTGCATTGGTTGATGTTTTTTACCTTGAAAAATGATTTGAAAGTTGTTAGATGTTTTATGCATTTTCCAAGAAAAAAAATTTTGTTTTAAAAATGAAAAAGGAAAATAAAACATCTACGGGAAACTATTTAACTTTATCCTTAATGTTATCATACAATGGTGGCCCTAAGGTCAAGGATAAAAGGAGATCCTCTAACTAAGTTAGCATGCATGGTTCACAACCTAATGTCTAACTTGAATCGAAATTGAAACAAGCAAGCCTAAGGGAGAATGTCGGGTGAAGGCGTAAGCCAAACGAAAGAACGCCAGGTGAAGGCACATCTCACAAGCTGAAGAACGTCGGATGAAGGCGAACCTTGCAAGCAAAAGAAAATCGGGTAAAGGTTGACTTCGCCAATGAACGAAAACTGGGTGAGGGTTTAAAGAGAAGCATAAGCACAAGCGCAATCAACAAGCTCTAACAAAGAGAGCATGCATAATTAATGAAGGTTTATATTTTTTAAAAAATAAAAAACAATTTTGATATTAAATAATTTAAATAACCATTATAAATTTGTTTGCGTAATCAAAACTGTAAATCATGCTATAATATAAGAATATATTGAACATATGTGTATAAACAAAGTGAATTGGTCGGGGATTTTTGGAGGCGAGGTGGAAGACGGGTATGCTCGTCTGTTTGAGTTTGTGAACTTAAAATCTTGTTCCATTCTATGAAAAATGAAGGTGGAGTGGGGAAGGCATGTATGTCTTGCTTCTATAAAGGCTTAAAATTGTGAGGAAAAAAACTTGTTAATGTTCGTGCCCGCAAAAACTTATAAGAGACAGAGCAAACATATTAGAAATAAGAACTTAAAACCTTGAAACGCCCCGAAAAAAATGCGAGCAAAACGAGCATATCGAATAGGCTAGGTCTGTTTTTCCACTCAACGTGTACAAGCATCTCAGTAGTTGAGGTTTAGAAGGAGAAGATAAAGAAACACATCCAAGAAAACCTGTTTCAGTCAAGTCTAATCAGTTATATGATCCTTCTTGTTGAGTATAAACAGTTACACTACTACAAATAACACTTCTAACATCGGATGCGAAAAACGTTGTACCTCGACAACAGAAGCGAGAAAAATTAGGCCATCATGAAAAGTCTCCACTTAAAATCTTGGATTTTCAAAACCCGAGGTGTATAGTTATATGCACATGGATTCGAACTCCAGGAGCGGAACATTTATTATTTTCAAAACTATCGTATCTTTTATCTCAGTTTCTACAAAAAACTGAGGGATTAATCATTTTTAAAAAAATTTATTACATTGTTTATCCAAAATATTACATTGTTTACCCAAAATATTACATTGTTTACCTAGAAAATAAAGATAAAAGTCAAACTCCCTAGGGTGGTTCAAGATAAAAATTAAATTCCCTAGGATGGACAAGATAAAAAAATTAATTCCCTCAAGATGTAGATTTAGTTCTTCGTATTATTGAATCTTGAAGAAGATCTTCTGTTAGATCTTACATGCAATTATTTCTGATAAAAAAACATAAGGTAGTTAATATTTAAGAAAACAAAAATCAAGAAATC